TATTCTGCAACACCAGCCACTCCTCAGAAGGAAGGTTGGGCAATCCTACTTCCGTAGTGATACTGCCTTGGAAACCCAAGGAGGGGTCGCTATGAGTCGGGGCTGACTCGACGGCAAACAACAACATTCTGCAACACATAAGGGTTACGAGTTGGAATTGACTCAACAGCAATTAAAAACAACTAAAAAATAAGCTACTTTGCAAAATACATTACAGCTTACAAAGATTTCACACATATATTGTTATTGGCAGGTGCCATGGAGTCAGTTCTGACTCATAGTGACCCTGTGTACAACAGAATGAAATATTGCCCGGTCCTGCACCATCCTCACAATGCTTGTTACGCTTGAGCCCATTGTTACAGCTACTATGTCAATCCATCTCATAGAGAGTCTTCCCCTTTTTCACTGACCCTCTTCTTTACTAAGCATGATATCCTGCTCAGTGCAATAGGGTAACTGATTTCTTGACTGCTGTTTCTCTGGGTATTGGTTGTGAATCCAAGTAATATGAAATTTTTGACAACTTCAATCTTTTCTCCATTTATCATGATGTTGCTTATTGGTTCATTTGTGAGGATTTTAGTTTTCTTTATGTTGAGGTGTAATCCATACTGAAGACTGTGGTCTTTGAACTTCAATAGCAAGTGCTTCAAATCATCTTCACTTTCAGCAAGCAAGGTTGTGTCGTCTGCATATCGCAGGTTGATAACGAGTCCTCCTCCAACCCTGATGCTGCATTCCTCTTCATATCGTTGCTTCTTAGATTGTTTGCTCAGCATCCAGATTGAATAATTATGTTGGAAGGATATTACCCTGATGCACACCTTTCCTGATTTTAAACTGTTCAGTATCCCCTAGTTCTTTTTGAATGACTGCATCTTGATCTATGTACAGATTCCTTATACGCATAGTTAAGTGTTCTGGAATTTCCATTCTTCTTAATATTATCCATAATTTGTTTTGATCCACACAGTCGAATGCCTTTGCATAGTCAATAAAACAGAGGTAAATATCTTTCTGGTATTCTTTGCTTTCAGCCGAGATCCATCTGACATCAGCAATGATATAACTCATTCTACTTCCTATTCTGAATCCAACTTGAATTTCTGGCAGTTCCCTGTCAGTATATTGCTAC